AACAGCTGCAGAACCTTACGCATCTCAACCTCAGGTAAGCTGGTATAAAAGAACAAAAGTTAAATGCAATTGAAAACAAATGCCTGAGAAAGATTTTGAAAATACTGTTGGATGAGTTCAAGAGGTGTAAAGAAATAACCACTGGTAACAATAGTTATATAACAGCGAGTAGCACTTGATTGGGCATATCCTGAGAAGAAATGAGCAGAGAATTATAAGCAGCACTAGAATGGGAAATAAAAGGATTGAGGATGTGGAAACATCCAAAAGAAACCCTAACATGAATATTGACGAGAGAGGCCAAAGGTCATCATAATCCCATAACACTACGTGTCATTGGGTCACCTGTTTCTGTTGACTGTCTGATCAGCTGTCTCCACCTTTGGCGGTCAGTTGGGATGGGCATCATTGTTGCATGCCTAAGGCCTGTCCAGTCAGTCAGGTTCTGTAACCAGGTCTTTCTTGGTCTGACTCTTCTCCTCTTTCTCTCTACTGTACTCTGCAGTATTGTTTTTGAGAGGCCATTAGATCCTATTACGTGTCCATACCATTGCATTTTTTGCCTTTTCACTGTAGTTAAAAGAGGTTCATAGTTGTCAGTGTGCTGTATAATTTTATGGTGGACTTCCTCGTTTGTAATGTGGTCTCGGGATAATATGCTAAAAATTTTTTTAAGGTGCCAAAGGTGCTTGACTGAATTCCATTCATGATCCTGAAAGGATTGCACAGGATAGACGGAAGGGAGAACTAGGCTGCAAGCACTGGAGGGAAAGGTGGAGAGCAAGAGATAGGCAGCGATACAAGTGAGAGAAAAACATCAAGAGATGGACTGGCAGCAGTCTGAGAGAGTGTACAACCAGGACAAGAGACAGAGCAGGTTAGAGATCCATTGCAGTCAACCTTCACTGTGGATACGGCAACTGATTGATTGACTGTGTGACATATAATGGCACAACACGACGGTGTTGAAGCTGATACAAGTTGCAGCCTTGGATTTTCGTGTACTATCTGTAAAGGTTTCTTTTTTGAGTGTTCAGTTCTTTACCTTCAGAGATTGGTGGTTGTTTGAATGCTGAAGATTTAATTATAATTGACATGAGTTTTATGAGTATCTTACAGTATAACACTTAGGGCCGTGACTACTCTTTGCCTCAGTTTTTGATTTTTAAAATATTTCTTTATTGAATTCTGCATGTATTCAGTTCAGGTGCTCATTGAATTGTGTATTTTATTTTTATTATGGAGGTGAAAGCAGTAATGGCTACTTTCCAGCGTCTGGAGAGTAGCAAAGCCCACCATATTTTAATTATAACTGACTTGCAGAGCTGGCTTTGGAAAATAGAAACTGGTGTCTTACATTCAGAGTGGCTTGCCTTGCTTCATAAGACTAAGAAGCATATCACATAGTATTTTTGCTCAGTACATTTGGGTGTAAGTGATAACGATAAGTCTGACAAATTAGCTATATTGTCCCCAAGTAGGATGGCAGTTTTTTGTTATTTTGAAGCTCCACCCTGGCTTTTGCCGGGGGCCCTGAAAATAGTCAGGCCATAAATATTTGTTCTAGCCATAGATATGGCCTAACGGCTGAAAGGGGTTTCTGGGACCTCTTCACGGGTGACCCTCATCTGCATGGTGGCACTTTGTGTCACCGGGTGTTTATCGCTTGTGTGATGTCCTGGTGGGGTACAACTACCTACCCACCTTTCTGGGTGATTAGCAACTTTATGATAAGGTGGGAATGGTAAACGCTGTCTAGGATCAAGTAAACAGTGCAGCAGAACAGACACAGCATCCCTGTCTGAAGAGAATGATTTAGCTGGAAGTGAGCAAATCTTCTAAACATTTTTGTACCCACAGGGAGAAATCAGGTGAGCTTTTAATGAGGTTGCAGCTGACACGATCAGAATGGGAGCTCTCAGTTGGCCACTGAGGAAGGGGATGGAGCACTTATGTTAATATCCCAAGTGCAGTGATGTGAAATCTTGATTCATTTTCTTCATTGTGCATTTATTTCCTTGTTTGTAAGAATAGTCATATTGTTTACACAAGTTAAAGATGCTTTCTCTTGATCTATAATGACTAGATTTCTTTTTTTAAGCTTGTTTTGTGATACTATCTGGCGTCTGTGGCTTAGGCGTTGCAAATGAGCTTCGTAATGCTGGGGTGCCGGGTTCGATCTTAGCTACGTACGATTTGTCTTGCATTGGTTTCGACAGTGGTACCTAGAGCTGACTGTTCAGAAAGCAGTGGCAAACTACTGAACGTGACATTTGCCTAGAAAAACCACAACAGCAAAAAAAAAATGCTAATGTTTATTTTGCAATGCCCTGTAAAGGATACACTACTAACTAACTTTGTGATATTAGCACTGTATTGTTAACCCACTCAAAGCTTTGTTATTTCTTTTACAGCCGTAACCAGTTGTCTGTCCTCACTTCTGCTGTGTGCTTTCTCAGCTGTCTAGAGGTACTGTCTCTGAGCAACAATAAATTAGTGTCACTTCCAGAAGAAATCGGACAGCTGAAAAATCTCATGGATCTGGTGAGTTATGGAAATACAATAGACTTTATTTATTCTGAATGTCTTACAAGTTTTAAAGATATGTGCAAGCAGGACCTGAGTGATACTGGTATTGAGGTGGATTCACAGGATGGCAATTCCTATCTCCACATGGTTTTTAAATTTCATTTGTATCACTTATAAGCCGCACTAGATGCTCACTTGTGGATGTGAATGTCATAGATTCACATCCACATTGGGACAAATTTGTTTAGAAAGGGGCCTTGGCTCTCAAGTCGACCCGGCCTTAAATGGATACCAGGTGAAGGTATCTAGGAGGATGCTGACTACATCACCCACTGGGTCAGTTGGTCTATACAAAAATAGGTCTAGTATTATATACCCAGTATGCCTAAGAGGGCTGAGTGGTCTCGAGATATGGCGTCACCTCGAGTGCTGGAGGTTGTGGGTTCAGGCCCTAGTGAAGGCTGGGATTTTATCACACAGACTTCTAGTAATTTTCCCTGGTCTTTGGGTAGTGAGATCGGACGCCCATATGTATTGTCCCTCACGTTAAAAAAAAAATCCCTTGACAGTTAGAAATTGAAAAGAGTACCTTAATGACGCCCGGGCAAACATTTGGAGTTGCAAATCCCAAAGTATTTCAGGATCCTCACCAGTGCTACAGAGATTCTTCAGACTCAGGCTTGAGTTAGAAGTAGAACGGAGCACTTATGGGTTACTACCGTTATTTAAATCTAAACCTGAAGAAAGTGTGGACAAGTTTTTTTAATTTTTTTTTTTACTTTCATTATCTATTTTTCCCCTTCTTCTTAATGATGAATAACTAGTGCGAGGTCTTCTTTATTTGCAAGACCCTTAATCTTTATTGGCTTCATGTACATCTTCGTGGTCTGCATTTTGTATCTTGTTTTCATAATTTTGTTGCTTCTTTTCAACCCTTGAGTTGATTTGGCAACTTTCTTTGTTTCCAGATGATAGTCTTATATTGTGCTATTGGGGGACATGGGAACGACAGCCCAAGTTGATGTCAAGTGTGACTGGCAAGACCTGCTCTTATCAAGAAAAGTCTTCCACCATAAGAGCATAGAATTTCAAGGACAATTGTTGTCATCGTGTAGTATTTGACCTGCTTCTTCTCAAACGCTCAGAGCTTAATTATTTTCTCCTTTATCCCTATTCCCTTCCCCTTCCCCCCCCCCCCTCCCCAACTCCATGCAACACAGTCCATTGCATCCTGTTTCCAGAAATCCGCTTCAGTATCTGTATCATTCTTGTTCCACTTGCACACATGTTTATATTCTTATAGAGTATGACCCAGCATCTTCCGCCAATAAATAATGTCCATAGGGACTCTGCCATCATCCAACCTCCATGTGTGTCCGTTGACATCTGAGCCTTCAATGACTGCATATGGTTTAATCTGTGGTAATGCCAGCTCTTTCTGATACCTCACTGTTAGCGATCTTGTCTCGCTAATTAATGTCAAATATTCTTCTTTGACATCGCATGTGAAAGCTGTTTAGTAATTTCTCGTGGTTCATATACATGATAAAAAACAAGGGTGGCTGCATTCAAGTCGTATCAAGGAATTAATCTACTGAAATGTGACTAAGAAGTGTCTTAATCATGTTTCAGGGGATTAATTTCCTCTACAGCCAAGTTTCACTAGTGTATGGATAGTGCTGAGAACACAGGCTTGGCCATAGCTATTGAGTTAATCATATGTGTCGATTCCTCCCCACACACAAAATGGTTGACACATTCCGTTTCTGGGAGACAGCTTTTACTGAGTTTGCCCTCTAGACAGTTGCAGTCCCTTGCTGACGAGATTCTGTCTTCCCAGATAGTGGGCCGCTGCGATCAAAAAATTGCAAAGGCAGAGTGGTCGTTGCTGCCAAAATTATCAGGTACTGTCCTGTTTACAGTAGATGAACGCCAAGAAGAAAAATAAGTAATAATAAATCTATGCGAAATACATAATATGCTTTAAATTCTTTTATCTGTTCAAGAAGGCATGTAGTATGTCGTCATCATCATGTGCCCTGCCAACTGGCTTAGGCGCTCGTGTCTCCACAGATCCTGATCCCTGGTTGCCTGGAACAGTTCTTTTGATGATATCCCTCCATGCCATCGTTTCAGCCCATCCAGCATCATCTCTCTTGGTCTGCCTCTACCCCTCTTTCCACTGATCTTTCCATTTGTCACGATGATCTCCAATGTCTCTCTTCTCATTATGTGGCCAAAGAACACTGTTTGTCTCTTTCTTATTGTTGTATATAGAGATCTACTTTCATTAGCTTCTTTCAAGCAATGGTTGTTAGTTACTATGGCCGTCCAAGGTATTTGTAGTAATTACTAAGATAATATTTAAGTATTTATTTATTTCTAGGTGTCTCTATTGCTACTCTGCCAGTGAAGCAATTTAAAAAAAAAAGATTCACGTGTGTAATGTATTGGTACTGAATCTGTTCCAGGATGTCAGCTGTAATGAGATCTCCCACATACCGTTACAGATTGGAGATATGTCCTCCTTGCGTTGCTTAAATCTGCGGAGAAATTATCTCATCGAGTTGCCTGTTGGTAAGTTGGATTATTGAAAAGCCAGAATGAATGAATATATCAAGAATTGGCATCCTTGCACTTGGAACATTCCCACACATGCTTTATCCCCTTCTTTGATAACCAATGAAGTGTTTGCTGAGAAAGGTGAAGACAGGAATGCTTCGAGCAGAGTGGCAAGCTTCACTGGGAAGGCCACGGGTAGTGAGCATACTTTGGATCTTTTCTCCAGGCCATGCCGGCGTAGGGGGTAATGAACAGGCAGACAGATTGGCTAGATCTGCGCCACTGGGTGGTGAATTGATACATGACAAGGCAGATGTGGTCAAGGCCCTTTGGGGACAAGCAACAGAATCAGTAGAGAAACAAGATTATTATGGCCTGGAGAGAATGAGGCACCTGGGTGTAACCAGAGGATCTGGGCGGCTCACTACACTCAGAGAATTATGACCGATACCATCAGTATTGGAACTCTGTGGTCGCTGCTGAAGATGAGGACGAAGCACTCATAGGAATGCCCCGAGTGCTGTGATGTCGATTCTTGACTCAACTCAGCTCAACTCAATGAAGTGTTAATATGTTAATAGTACCAGCTGCAACCTGATTAAAAATCTGCCTGTGTTTTCCCTACATCCTCCAGAACACTTACTCATGCCCCGTTAAATCACTTACAGTGCATGGATTCTCTGTCTGCTCCATTGCAATGTCCATTTGATCGCAGAAGAAAGCCTTCACCATGTCTGCTCTATCATCACTAAGCAGCTCAACGCCTAGAGGAACAGCAGCAGGCAATCTATCAGAAAGCTTTTTGCCTTGCACACCTTAATATCCTGGCTAGAAAATCCATAAATGCTTATAATTTGAGTCCCATCAAGTGATGCAAGCAACTGTGTGCCCAGGATACCAGTCTCAATCCTCCGAAGCATGGTCTTTGTGTCCACCACAATCACACCGTATCAGGCTTTGGTGCTCACAAACCATCGAAAAGCTGCCCTTACCGCCTCCACCTCTATTCACACTGGATGCAGTAACGTTGCATGTGAGGCTGTCTGTTCAAACAGCTATATTCATCTATATATATATATATATTCACTATATTCATCTTTGCAACAAAACCCCACCCACTCCTACCTCTCACCACTGTCCCATCCATATGTATACTTTTCACCAATCAACTCCTGCATTGCTGACTCTTGTTTCATAGCTGTTTATTCCCGGCATTCTCGATCCAAAGCAACCACCATTGTATGAAAGGCTGTCTTGCTGGAAAACACCGCGATCCAGTCCTCACCTTGCGCTATTTTGTCAACAGTAAAGACATCTTTTACAGTACCACGCAAGGGCCACCTCCTCCCAGCCGATGTCCCTTGCTATCCCCTAAGGCCTCATGCAGGAGGCGTTCCCTTCTGTTGCGACCGCAGGGAACATTTTCACCCATTTAGCTGGAATTATCAGGCATTGTGTTTTTATTGATTAATTAAGATACAGAGGGTTAATGTAAGTTTGTTTGTGAAAGAAGACAGCACGATCAACATGTTATATTTGGAACGACTAAGAAACATGTGGTGAGATTTTTAGACTGAAAGAGTTGAGAATAAATTTGTGAGCATGTCATGTGTCATGAATGGAGGGGGATGTTCATGAGCTTCATATTGTGTTCATACTGAGCAGACTGACATGGCTGTCTTTTATAGAAGCTTGTCTGTTCCCAGAGATTAGCCGTTTGCAGCTGTACAGACTGGACTTTGCCAACAACAGGATAGCGAGAATCCCCACAGTCTTTCGTAAAATGGAAACCTTGGAACAGTTGATATTGGATCACAATCCTCTATCATCTCCGCCTGCTCATGTAAGTGTTGTTGAAAAGCACTCCAGATAGCTTACAGTGTTGCACCTTGCAATCAGCACAGTAGCTGGACTAGGGGTGCATTATTAATATCCTACCCCAGACATTTGAAATCCATAGGTCACGGGAGAGTCTGATATTTCAGGGGGTGGTGGATAGGCTGCATTCAGTCGTGGGACCTAGGCTGCATGCAGTCTTGGGACCTAGACTGCATTCTCTCATGGCATGTAGGGGAGGGGGGGGGGGTTGGGGTTAGGGCCAGTTCTAGATGTTTTGGGGTTGGTACAAGCATCAGAAAGCCAGGAAACCTAGTCTTACTACCCTCTAAAATGTTGGACTTTCCTGTGACATCATCTGGGGTAGGATATTAATAAAGAACCAGACTAGGCACTATATTACTTTGCTGAGACTGCATTCTGTTTCAGGTTTAATTTTCATAGTTGACTGCGGTGCACGTTCTTTATGGTTTTTGCTGGCACAGAAATAAAGCAGTTGTAGGCTGACCTATTTACTTTGGATGGCGTCTGTGGCTTAGGAATTGCAAACGGGTTTCGCAATGCTGGGGTGCCGGGTTCGATCCCAGCTGCAGATGGTTTGTCTTGGGTTGGTTTCAACAGTAGTACTGAGAACTGAGCTTTTAATAAGCAGTGGCAAACTAATGAGCATAAAATTTGCTCATACAAAATTCACAAAAGCTTAAAAATGCTGGTATTGATACTGAAACGTCCTTTAACTCTTTCAGGCCCATGAATTTTGACAGACTTGGCCCAAATTAATTTCCCTTTACAAAAATGGCAGAGGGGTGGGTGCACAAGAAAGGCTATAGAGATTGTAATATACTTCTAATCCCTATAAAAGTATATATTTTTTTAAAGAGAAATGAATGTACATTTTGAATCTGATGATAAGTGTTTGTTTAATTTTGTTATAGTTAGTGGGAAAGAAAAATTCAGCAGGTGTTAATTTCACAAGGACAACATTTAACAAAAAAATTCTTCACTTACCATGGTTTTGCAGCCACAAGAGTAGTAAATATCCAAATTTGAGAACAAAACTTCAAAGTCTGTTCAATTTCCTAACATATTCCAAAGTTATAATAATTTTCTGGGTAAGTTTAGCACTCAGGAGCTCTTAGTTCTCACAGAGTGCTGAGCAAAATTTCAGAGAAAAAATGTCAGAAAAATAAGCCATTACACACACACTATTTACTATTTACTTTGTACAGTTATTTACAGACTAGCTGCGATGATTTTAGTGTAGCTTAGCCATAGTATAGTACTGTCTCTTTGTTTAGAGCACTTTCCTTCTCTTACACCATAAATACGGTAATATTGGACATTGTTTGTGTAATAAACTCATCAGGATTGCTAAATTTCAGACAGCTGATCGCTCAGCTTCACAGGTGAAAATTCACCGTTCGAATCACATTTCGAAAAATCTAAATTTGTATTATCACTATCATAATTAAGAACATCTGACTGTAACAATTTCAGAGCTTCGGCCGCAGAAAGACACATTCTGCGACCTGTACTTGTAGTTAGAACATTGGTATTCATGGCACTCAAAAATTAACTTAGAAAATGAACTGCTAAAAAAAATTTCACTGTGTTTTCTCTCAAATTATCCACGTGTGGTTTAGTCCAGAAAATGAAATTAAAAGAATTTCGGCAGAGTGACTTTCCCTGAATAGTTAAATCGTACCTCCAAACATTAGAAACTAGTACGAAGCCGCGTGAGAAGCAAAATGTAAGGGACACACGATTGACGATGACACCGTTGTTTGGGCAAAACGGAACCCTCTCAAACAACGCTCATACCCTTGTTTGGGCCTCAAAGAGTTAAAGCATACACAACTAACTTTAAAAAAATTTACTTTGAGGTTTGAACTGTGACTCAAGTTTTGTTATTGTTTTTTTACATCTGCACTCATTATTTTGTTTGTTGTTGTGTTGCCTCACATCTCCAAATGTAAGGTAGGCCCTTAGCTAGTTCATGCCGAAGCCTTTGTAGACTTGTTTCTTTTCTTCTACTTGTCTTCTTCGCTTTCTTTTTCTCCTTCTCTAGTCCTGTATTGCCTTCCAGCATCAGGTTTTGAAGAGGCATCGGATGACAGCCTTTGTACATGTGCTACATAGATGTCTTCTATGTGATAGAATTTAGAACATGCTTGTCAAGGAACAGTGGGATCTGTTGGGGCAGTGGATCTGTCCCCCCTTCCCCCTCAACTGTGACCCTGAAACCCAAAAGTTAAAATTTCATATGTTAATTTGCTGGACAGTTGTATGTGATAAATCCTTCTTCTTCATTTTCACCGGTTGTAAACTCCGGCAGAAAGTTCTGGTTGTTTATCGACTTCTGGACCTTAGCCTTGTTCCAGATCATGAATTTTGTGTGCACATCCATTTTACAGAAATGGATTATTTGTAAGCAGACTGTTGGTTCCTTGCCTGTCAAGCAGATGTACTCTGACACGGAAGAAACATCCCTAACTAGCCGACTCTTACAACATGCTTGTTAGGGGTCAGCGGGTCTATTCCCCCCCCCCCTCCCCCACCCGCAAAAAAAAAAAGATTATGCAGTGGTATGAACATGTAACAATATCATCTGGCCTTCCTAAAATAATACTACAAGGCTTTGTATCAGAGAAGAGGAGAAGCGGCAGACCAAGACCTAGATACATAATTTGAACAAACTCTAGAGGATCGTCACTGTAGCTACAGTGTTCGTGCATTGCACGAGGCTCTCGACTAGCCATTTTGCACAGAAAGGCGGAGCTACATAGGATAACCCAGTGTATTTAAGTCGATCCTCTCAGCTTTTAACTTTTTTTTATCGTTAAGACCACCAGCCATGCAGCTACATAAACATTATTCCTTTCCATCAGATATGCATCAAAGGAAGGCAGCATATTATGAAGTACTTGCAGACTGAAGCTGTCAAGGAAGACAGAAAGAGAGGGGTTATGATTAACAGTGATTTAGAAATGAAGCGCTTTATTCGGAAGTCTTTGCCGCCACAACAGTAAGAGCATATTGTCCTTTGAAATATCTTTCTTTTAATTGCTTATTTATTTGCATTTATGTTATGTTTTTCTTCTTCCTCTTGCTCTAATCTCACTTTAACAATAAAGAAGTGCGCACAGCCATGAACATTTCAGTAAACTGAGAGAAATTAGAACAAGTGACAGGTTAATTTTTTTCTTGAACACATAATACCAGATGAAGGCAGACACGAAATAAAATTTAAACAGAGAATAAAAATGTCTTCAACGAGATGTGAAATGTATTGATATCTAGAGAGATTGTTGTTGTTATCGATCCAGCGGCGCATGAGCTTTCGCCCTTTGGCCCAATGCCATGTAGTGGAATTTGCATGTTTTCACAAGCTGTTCTTTTCTTCTGTACAAGGTGTTCCACTTGTCTGGTCTCGGAGGGAGTAGCAATCTAGAGAGATAAACAACACATTAAACTTGCAGAAACCTAAACAATGATTCTGTTTCTGTTGCACTTCTGCCATCAACTGTTAAATGCCCGTGATAGGAGAAAACTGTTAATTGTTTAGTTACTCTCATTTTATTTTTATTTAAACTTGGGCCCCTCCTTTCCATTGTTTATAAACTAAGTCCTGTAACTCTAGCTCACTTTCTATTAGTATTGAAGTCATCAGCATATCTTAGCTTGTTTGTATTTTTTTCTACGAAGCATTTCTAGGTGTGTTTAATTAATAATTAACTAGAGATCCATTGATTATCCTGAAATTGTGTGATATAATCTCTCTAAAACAGGTCATCTGAAGAATTTAAAAACCTTCTTGGGACACCAGAGTCTAAGTGGAAGAGGCACACTGTACTAAGTACAACAGATTCAGGCTATAGCACAGCAGACGGGGTTGACAAGAATGGGTGGCATAATGGTGAGGTGAGTTGAGTTTATGTGTCTGGTGCATTTGTCATGTCTTCTTCTTCAGGCACCTGGTCTGGAGCAGACATCAGCCATGACTGTCTTAGTTGTCTGATATTTGATGAAGCTGGTAACTGTTATTTGTTTCCCAGCCTATTAACCTTTTCCGTCTGTCTTTCTATGTCTCTCTAACAATAGGCCGATTTATATATTCTCCTTCCGTTAATATATGTATTATAATATTAATAATATATGTAATGTAATATATTATAATATGTGTAGGGAGATGCATGGTCTCGAGGCATGGCCTCCGCCTCGAGTGCTGGAAGTCCCAGTGAAGGCTATGATTTTTTCACGTGGACTTCTAGTAATTTCCCCTGGTCTCTGGATAGTGAGATCGGATGCCCGTGTGTATTGTTGCGCACATAAAAAATCCCTTAGCAGTTGGAAATCGAAAATGAGTAACCTAAGGATGCTGCCTTGACAAAATTTGCAGTTAAAAATCTACCCAAAGTATTTCAGGATCCTGGTCAGTGCTGCAGAGTTCGTGCATTGCACTGAGATTCTTCAGACTCAGACTTGAGTTGGAAGTGGAACGGAGCACTTATGGGTTACTACCCGTGTACCATGATGTTGATCCAGTGTTAAAAAACCTCAAACACTTTTAATGATTTGGTGAGCCAAGAACTGACATCACAGCACTTGAGACATTCCCATGTGCGCTCCATCCTCCTCTTCAACAGCCAGGCTAGAGTTCCAGTTCTGATGAAACCAGTAGCAGTTTGATTTTTTCCCATCTTGTATTTCCTGTGATGTCTGATCATGTAGCAAATGCCCAGTACCTCAGCATTTGCTGTTTTCTGTGTCTGCAGTCTCAGCATTCTACTAAAAAGCTTCATCCATAATGCTTCTAGTTTTTTTTTTTTAATTTAAAAAAATAAAATTATTTCATCATTTATTGACCCACATTCCATATATAGAAAGGAACAGGCCATACATCATCATCATCATATAGCTCTCACGTCGCTCTCATCACAGTCTGCCTGAAAGAAACTCGGTCTCCTGCCAGCTCTCCTGTCTCATGCACTTTCATACTCAAGGAGT